ACGACTACGACGGCCAGGAGCAGGACGAGCTCAGCTTCAAGGCCGGTAGGGGAGCGGGGCGGGGCCCAGGGGAGGCCTGGGCCCAGATTGGCTGTACGGCGGAGCGGGGCGGGCCTGAGGGCGGGGCCCAGGTGCTAGGGGCGGAGTCGGGACCTGAGACTAGGGTGGGGCGGAGGAAACGAAGGAGCAGGGCTGGGGCCAATGAGGCGAAATGGAGGCGGGGCTTGGGCCTCGGGGGCGGGGCCTAGACCCAGGTTAGGGGAAGGCAGAGGTAGCTCAGGGCGTCTGAGCAAGGGGTGGGGGCATGTATGTTGGGTGGCACTGGGGAGGTTAGTCCCCGGGGGAAGGGCCCATGGCCAGAGTCTCAGAGTAGGAACGTTGGGGCAGGAACGGGGAGGGAACACCGCAGGGCCCCCTAGAGCGGTGCGGGCGCTGGGGCAGGGGCAGACCCCTCTGAGCCCCGCCGGTGTCTCCGTTCGTTTGCAGGAGACGAGCTCACCAAGCTGGGAGAGGAGGATGAGCAGGGCTGGTGCCGCGGGCGGCTGGACAGCGGGCAGCTGGGCCTCTATCCCGCCAACTATGTGGAGGCCATCTAGCTGCTCCCCGCCCTCCACGTGCCCCTCACCCCTCCCTTCCCTCCCTCGGCTCCTTCCCCTCGCCATAGAGTTCCAGACATATTTTCCAATCAAGCTTTTATTTTTTTAAAAGTCAAAACAGAACAAAACAAAAAATACAAAGAGACAGAGCATTTGCAGGGCCACCCGGAGGCCAGGGTGTTGGGGCTTGGGAGCAAGCCCCATGGTGGGTGAGGGCCTTGGGACTTAGCCCTTCAGAGCCCACCAAAGAGTCTCCTGAGGCCTGAGGGCGTCTTCTGGACCCTTCTACCCTGCCTCACTCCCCGCCCTGCCCCGCCCCAGGCTGCCAGCACCTGCCCCGGTCTCCGGGTCTGGTTTCCTGACCTCTTCTCCCTCCCCCTCCCCGGCCCCCCAGACTCCTAGAAGGGAGGCCTCCCAATCTTCAGTCTTCCGCTCTGTCCCGGGGAGTGGCCTTCTCCCTAGTCCCATGCTTGGGGGCCCAGGGAGCTGGAGGAGGAAGGGTCACCCTGCTCCCCCCACCCTGGAGGGTTCCAGGAGGCTGAGCTGGTGAGTGGAGGGTGGGGGGGCACCCAACTACAGGCCCGGCCTGCGGACTGTGGGGGTCTTCCTTCCCCGCAGTCAGCTCTTGCAGCGGCTCTCCCTTGGGGGGCTCCCTCATAACTTGCAGAGACCCCACCCCTCTCATAAGTCCTCTGGCACGGGGTGGGGGCCCCAAAACCCAGGGCAAAGCCAGCAACAGTAGCAGCCTCTCCCATTTCCTGGGGATGAGGGCATCTTGCCCACTCACCCACCTTCCCTCCAGCCCATTTGAAACCGTAGACTCACTAGGCTCAGTGTCAAGCCTCCATGAGACCAAGCGTGGGGCCTACCTACAAGGCTCCAGGCCTAACCATTCCCCCCTTCCCTGCCCTGGCCTGCCTGGGGAGCACTGGGGGGCCCATGGCAGCCTCCAGCTGGGACCACCAGGGGAGAGCCTGCAGTTGAGCTTGGCAGGCAGGGGGAGCCCAGCCCCCGGAAGTAGGACACTCACCGTAGCTTTCTCCCTAGTCCCCCCGCCCCCAGGACAACACCACCCACCCACCCACCGGTGGGCGCTCCAGCTCTGGATCCAAGCCTGGGTCACAGTTAAAGGCAGTGGTGCAGGAGAGCTGGGTGCCGGCCTCTCCCATTCGAGGGAACGGGGTTTGGGAAGCAGGCCAGGACTGGACGAGACCCTGAGGTGGGTGCTGGCTCAGAGCAACCTCCAGGGTGGGGACCCGAGATGTCCTGCTGCCACCTGGTGTGACCTGCTCTTGGCTGGCACCGCTTGTAGGCACCTGGCCTGCACCTGCGGCCTTCCTCCCAGGGCCTCCAGGCCAAGAGTGTGCCTCTCTAGCCGGTCACTCCACGGTCCTCTTTGCTGCCTGCTGCTTCTCCCAACAGCCGCTGTGAGGAGGCGGCAGACTCCAGCCTCAAGGCTCCAACTTCCACATGGGCACAGAGACAGACTCTGGCAAGGGCCCGAGCTGGGGCCGGCAAACCGCCCCTCCCCCACCACGTGCTGCCCGCTCCCCCTTGTCACTGTCTCTCCCCTGGGCCTCTGCTGCAGCCTGAGGCATGTCCTGGGCCCTTCAGAGCCTGAGGCAAGATTTCTGAAGCTTGCAGCCCCCCTAAATCCAAAGCAAACATTCCCCAGTTTCTCCCCCACCCCAGGCAGGAGCTGGAGCTAGGTCGGGGCTTCTGCGCCTCACCCTGGAAAGACGGGCAGCTGGTGCATCTGCCCCATGGGGCCTGGGCTCCCAGCAGCTCCTCGGCCCCTGAGGACAGGCTGTGGCCTGGCTGGACTCAGACCCATCCCCTTCGGCCCCAGCTGCCCACTGCAGGGCAAGGACTCGAAACCCTAACGAGCACCCGCCTCCTCGGTCCCCAGGCTTCTCAGGACCCCGGCACGGGAGGGGCTCCGTCGGAAGTCCCCCTGAGTTCCGGGGACCCAGCCCCGTCAGTGCTGGTGTCAGGGCGCTCTGCCCGCGGCCTCCTCCTGTAGCTCCCGCCCGCACCCTCGATGCTGCGTGGGCCCGCCCTGGCCGGGCTCGGCGAGTCGCGTGTTTCGTCCCCAGTTAACCACCTCCGTGCGGCCCGGTGCCCGCCGCCCGTTGTCTGCTGCCCTAGGCTTCCTGATTCCATTAGTCCGACACTTGTGAAACTCCGAGAAGTGCTGTGGTCTCAGCGATGCACCTGTTTTGTACGATTGTGTAATTTAAGGTATATAAATACAGATCTATATCTATAAGTTGTGACTGTATGACTGTGGATAAAATCCAGACCTGTTCAACCTGGCTGGCCTCGTCGTCTTGAGTCCCGCGCGTCTTCCGTCCTGGGGGTTGGGGTGTCTGCTGGGGACTGAGGGGAGGGCCCGGGCAGGATACCCTGTAGGCTCCTGGGGCCCCAGCCTTCTCGGCTTCTGCGTGTGGGTGACAAGCACCAACCAGCAGAGCTGGGCCACTCAGGTCCCAAACTCATGGGTCAAGGGTGAATTTGACCTCCAAGCAGCTTTGGAGTTTTACAACAGAATTCTAAAAGCCGCTGCCGGGGCCCGTAGTCCCTGGCTCCCTGTGTGTGACACCGGGCAGCTCCGTGCTTTCCTGGGTCCTGCCTGAGTCTGAGGGCATTCCCAGGGGAGTTTCTCAGGCAGATGGGCAGGACCAGAGCTGCCCCAGCTCCTCAACACCCAGCTGTACCCCACACCCACCTAGGTCTCCTCGGGGGCATGGCAGGAGTCCCAGGTCTGTCCACTTCACTGTTCCCACCCCAGTCCCGGCCTTAGTTCCCTGGGGCCAGCGCCATGTCCCTGTGCAGCCTCTCTGACCCTGGGAACCCTCTCACACTCACCGCAGACGCGTACCCCGCCGCCATGCACCTGCCACTTTCCCCAGCCTCGGGGTGTGCAGGGCAGCAGATCTGCTGGCTCACCCAGCTCCGCTCCTGCCCCAAACCTGCCTGCATTTGAAGCCTGGGTTTTAGCCAGACACAAGACTCCCCTGGTAAAGACAGAACGTTTTCTGGGCCATGCATGGAGGCTGTTGCACTGGGCTATGGGAACCCCAGAGGCGTGGTCTGTGGACAGGGGTCAAGGGCACCTTGCTGCCAGCTCCTAGGTGTCACTGGCAGGTCAGAGTTTGCCTTCAGGGAGCTGTCCCACGGGGCCCCCAGCTCCTCAGTCCCAGCCTCTAACCCGCCCCCCTCCCATGCCACCTCCCCAGCCTGAGCTGTGAGGCTGAAGCCCAGCTGGGGACGTACAAGCAGGTGGCACCAGGGACTCAGCTGGGGACAGGGAGGGCTGGCTGGAGACAAAACCAGTTCAGCAAAGCTGCACCTGGTTCTGGCCAGGGTCCCAGCCTGCTCCCTCCCTGGGGGGCGGGAGGCAGCGGAGACCCAGCAAGGCACAGGCCTGGGGCAGGGCCCCCTCCTCCCAGTCCGGTCCCAGCCACAGATGCCAAGGTGCTGTTTGCTCACTGCCAGAACACTTTCTTCTGAAGACAATAAAATTGCTGGGGGTAGAAGGCGGCAGTACAGGGTGGCACTTAACCCTCGGCGGCCTGGGTGGCGGCAGCTGAGGGTGGTGGCCAGTCACACAGCAGGAGTGGATGGAGGGTGAGAGAGCCCTGGCCTTGGGAGAAACTGGTGTGGGTCAGTTCCTGGTTCTGCTGTGAATCCTCTGTGTGGGCAAGTCACCTAACCACTCTGTGCCTCAGTTTCATCATCTGCAGAATGGGGGGGGGGGTAACCTCTACCTCCTGATTAGGTCAACAATAAAAAAAAAAAAGGCAGGGGGAGCTGTTGGCACATAGCAGGTGCCCAGGAGGAAGTGTCGAGAAGCAGGAGGGAGCCGAGCGGCTTTGCCCAGGAGGTGGCGGTCGGCCTGGGGCTCCTCAGCCTCGTGTGCACAAACACAAGTCCACCCCCTCTCCCCAGCAGGCACCTGGGGCTCTCACACCTGCGGTTGTCAGGCCCACCCACCAGGACCCCAGCAGGGGACTGCAGTGCCCCCTTCTCCTTAGCTGGCCAAGCAGGGCCAGGGCAGGAGGCCCAGGGCGCCCCCGCCCCAACACACACACACACACACACACACACACAGAGAACCCTGTGGAGGACGCCTGCTCGCTCTGTTCCTCCCCGCAGTTCCCCTTCGGCCCCAGCCCGCCTCCCTTGCAGCCCACACAGATTCGGGGAGCGAGGGGCCCCTTCCTGCCTCTCCTGGGCCTTGAGGACCTGAGCCACTGCTTCTCTCCATAGCTGCTGCCAGTGATCCCTTTCCTTTTAGGTTCCACACAGTGCCTCCTCCCCCAGGAAGCCTCCCCTGGCTGCTCCGGGCCCCTATGAGCTCTTTTGACCCCTGGAGGCCTCAGGGCTGTGCCGTTCACTGCACAGACACTAGACAGGTATCAGTTCTCTAGCATCTTTATTATCCATCCCCAGGGACACTCCTGGCTCCCCAACTTGGGGTGCAGCCAGAATGGGTGGCAGGGAATGTGGGGACAGAGGAGTGTAGTGGCCTTGGCCAAGTCACTGCCTGCTGTAGGCTCCACTCTGGGAATCTTGGGGTCAGGGCCAGTGGAGGATGGTCCCCCTGGGGGGGCAGGGGACACCGAGGCCAGCCCTGGCACCCTGTGTGCTCCAGATCTGAGGAGGAAGCCCCCGCCCCGGGATGCCTCGGCTGCTGAGAGCTCGCCGATATCCTGGGAGCAGCAGGCCGCCCCCCAGCCCCCCGACCTTGGACTTCAGAGCGGCCTGCGCCTTCCACTCCAGCTCAGGGGCAGGCAGGCGGGAGGCTGGGTGAGGCCTGGCCTGCAGCCCTCAGACTGGGTGCACAAACTGGTAGACGAGGCGCTGGGAGATGTCCGGCTTTCGGATGATGCCCTTCTTGTAATACTGGCGGATGGAGCGGCTCAGCTTGTCGTAGTTCATGGCCGGCCGGTTCTTGCGGACGCCCCACAGTCGGGCCACCTGGGCAGAGTCCTCGATTTTGAAGATTCCTGGGGAGCAGGAGGGTCCAGACAGCCGGCGGTGCAGGTGGGGAGTGGCAGAAGGAGGGAGACGGAGACCGGCAGCTCAGTCCCCTGCAGGATGGAGGGGACCAGCGCCCGCCTCCCTCTGCTCTGGGCGGTGGCCCAGCTGGCTGCAGGGACACCTGCCATCCTGGCCGTGCTGAGGGCTACAGCACACTCAGCGGTGAAGGCTCTGCAGCCGCCAGGCCCATGGTGTGGGGCGAGCTCATACGCTACTTAGTGGGGATCTGGAGATCGGGCGGGCCTGGCCCTTGCCAGCCTCTAAACTCTCCAAGGACAGCCTGTATGGCTTATGGCGGTGCCCACAGCCTGTTTGGCAAAATCGCCCCCGGCCCCTGTTGCTGGTGACCTTGTAGTTGCCAAGCCTGATCCAGCCTCGTTGCCATTCTCAGCCATCTCAGCCTTCTCTGGCAGGACATGATGGTGGGAGGGCTGGGCCGGGGCCTCCGGGACTTGAGTCCTGGCCCTGCCTTTTTGCTGCCTCTGCAGCCCACCCCGACTCCCTTCTGCCTGCAAGGGAGGGGTGGTGGCAGCCTGTGTGGCTGGCTGCTGCAGAGCGTGCAACTTGCAACTTGGGACCTCCTGCCGAGGCCTGGGCCAGCACACCCCCTCCAGGGCGCCTGCCAGGAGGAACCAGCCCTTCCTGGCTCGTGGGACTGGCCCTGAAGACGGGTTCACTCAGTTCACCACGTCTTGCACAAGCATGTCTCTTCTACCCCCTCCATCTTAGTCCTCATCTTCCCCCTCCAGGAAGTCCTCCTGGACTCAAACACAGCTGATTCCCTCTCTCTTGCCCCCACAGCCCCACCACAGCGCTGAAGCAGTCCACACACGGGCTCATCTCACTGCCACTTTTCCTACAAGGCGCCAGGTTCCTCAAGCACAGGGTGGGCAGAGCCCTCCCCTCCCCCAGGACAGAGCAATTCTCTGCAAATGTCAGCTGAGAGAGTGTGACGCCAGGACACATGCTCAGTGAAGGCTTCCTGGGAGCCGGAGTCCCGTCCATTTCACAGATGAAAACACTGAGGTCCAGGCACCCGCAGCTACTATGGCAGGGTGGGGCCTGGAATCCAGGTTTCCTGTCTCTGAGCCACTTCCAAAACACACACACACACACACACACACGTACACATGTGCATGCACACACAGAGACACAAATATAGAGATGTGCACATGCGCAATATAGACATACACACGTGCACACACGTATGCATACACACATGCACGCACACAAATACATATTTACACACATACACACGTTCACAGGCATACACAGAGATGTGCGCATGCGCACAGATGTACACATGTGTGCACAGAGCCATTCACACACATGTACGCATGCACACATATAGACATGCACATGTGCACACACAGAAGAGTACACATACATCACACACACACACACACACCACGGAGCCCCGCTGCCTAACACAGCAGCCCAGCCACGTGCGGCGGGCGCCACTGTGAAATACACACAGGCTTTCTAGGGCTTAGTAAAGCACCGTCATAGTTTTTACACTGATCGCGCTTTGGAGCTGCCATCATTTGTAATACTGGATTTTCACCCAAAGTGCTGGGGACCAGAAGTGTGTAGCCTCACGGGGAAATCGCAAACCCAAAAGCTGCGCCTCGCTGTCCTTCTCCCCCTCCCCCGCTGCCCGCTCCGCGCACACAGCCCAGGGGCCCTCCCAGCAGGACGCCCCAGCCTCGGGGCTCAGGCCCCCCCCCCCCCCGGGCGCGCTCACCCTTCTCCTTGTTGAGCCACCGGATGCAGCGGCCGTAGCTGTGCGGCTTGAGCAGCAGCTCCCTGAGGAACTGCCACAGGTGGATGGGCTGCCCGGAGCAGGACGAGTCCACCTCGCCGTCGGTCCAGCTCTCCTCGGGGGTGGAGGCTGCGTGGCCAGGGAGGCAGCGGTGAGTGGGGCGCCGAGTGGGGCGCCGCGGGCCTCCCGGCTCCCGACCCCCAAGCCCCCGGCCCCTCCCGGCTCACCGCAGTAGTGCATCGGCCCGGTGGAGGTCCTCTCTTGCATCCAGGCCGCTGTGGGGCAAGGAGAGGTGGTTGGGGACCCGGGAGAGCCCCGAGGGTGGAGGAGGGAGGGCTTTGGGTGGGACTGTGGGGCCACGGAAGCCCCTGGGGCTGGCGGGGGTGGCCCCCACGGCCTCCCGCCAATGAGGGAGGGCAGGTTGTTTACCAGGAACTGCTTCCTGGAAGCAAATACAGGGTTGCAGAGCTGGGGGTCTCAGAGACCCTGCACACAGCTCCTCCGCTTCAGACGGGCCGCGGCCCTGGGGCTCGCCGTGCCCTCCTCACCTGGCCTGGCCGTGCCCTCCTCACCCGGCCTGGCCGGCAGGCTTATATTCCCAGCGGAAGGCATCACAAAGGATATTAATTGTTCTCCAGGTTCCATTTCAAACAGCCGAAGGAACCCATCTCTCCCACTCCCACTCCTGCACTGGCACTGACTACCTACTAGCAAGGGCCTGCACAGGGGCAGGACACTGGTCCCTGATGGGGCCATACGAGTAGCTCCTGTCTCCTGGTTCAGGGGCCTTGACTCAACGAGCAAAGTGCCAGACACTCAGTGGGCGCCCCAGAGATCCAGGCAGCTTAAACATCCGGGCGCAGCCATTAGAAGCAACGGGGTAGAGGCCGCCAGACTGACAGGGAACCAGGTCTGAGGTGCACGGGGTGGAGGGCTAGGTGAGAGTCTGGGGCTGCTTATGTTGAGAGAAGAGTTCAAACTGCATGCGAGGGGCCAGCGCTGAGGCATAGCTGGTAAGGCCTGCAATGCCGGCATCCCATGTGGGCGCCAGTTCGAGTCCCGGCTGCTCCACTTCTGATCCAGCTCTCTGCTGTGGCCTGGGAAAGCAGTAGAAGATGGCCCAAGTCCTTGGGCTCCTGTACCCGTGTGGGAGACCCAGAAGAAGCTCCTGGCTCCTGGCTTTGGATCAGCACAGCTCTGGCCATTGCGGCCATCTGGGGAGTGAACCAGCAGATGGAAGACCTCTCTCTCTCTTTGCTTCTCCTCTCTCTCTCTGTGTAACTCTGACTTTCAAATAAATAAACCTTTAAAAGAAAGATGGAAATAGTTCTTAAAAAAACAAACTGCAGTGCCAGAATCCCATGGCAGAGTGGTGGTTTGAGGCTGCTCTGCTCCCATTCATCTGCCTGCTTATACAAGCTCTCTCTCCCTCTCTGTCACTCTGCCTTTCAAATAAATTGATCAATAAATGGATCTTTAAAAAAAAGTTCCTGGCCAGTGCCGCGGCTCACTAGGCTAATCCTCCGCCTGCAGTGCTGGCACCCTGGGTTCTAGTCCCGGCGCCGGCACCCCGGGTTCTAGTCCCGGTCGGGCACCGGATTCTGTCCCGGTTGCCCCTCTTCCAGGCCAGCTCTCTGCTGTGGCCTGGGAGGGCAGTGGAGGATGGCCCAAGTGCTTGGGCCCTGCACCCCATGGGAGACCAGGAGAAGCACCTGGCTCCTGCCATCGGATCAGCGCAGAGCACCGGCCGCAGCGGCCACTGGGGGGTGAACCAACGGCAAAGGAAGACCTTTCTCTCTGTCTCTCTCTCTCTCTCTCTCTCACTGTCCACTCTGCCTGTCAAAAAAAAAAAAAAAAAAAGTTCCTGACTCCCACTTCTCTCCAGCTGTTTCGGACATCTGGGGAGTCGGTGAATGGGAGAATTCCGTCTCACAAACAAGCTAATTTTGGTGGGGGAAAAATACAGTAGCTGCCTGGGGCAGGAGCAGGAGTGGGAGGGCAAGTCTCTGTTCATAATAATAATTTTTCCCTGGGACCTTTAAAAAAAGCCATGCAGCTTTGATCCTTCAATGCTTCTTTAATGAAAAGCAAAGCAAGACAAACATATGTTAAAAAGGAACACAGGGACTGCATAGCCCCAGAGGCCCAGCTCCGACAAGGCCGGCCTCCTGGCCACACATCCCACGGGCTCTGCCCCAGGCTTCTGGGGACAGGGCTGGGCTGGCAGTGGGTCGAGCTCCCTGCGGTCACTCAGGACCCAGGGAGGCAGCTGCTGTTGGATCTGAGACCCAGAACGGAGTGAGGGTGAGGGCCCAGGGCTGCTTCCCCACTGGGTCCTGGCCAGGAGCGCAGGAGGGACAGCCCCCACCCAGGCCACAACTCACCTGATTTCCAGATGTCCAGGTGGGCGTGCAGCACGTCCCCACCCAGGGGCGAGCGCTGGCGGAACTGCTCCTCCGACATGGCGCACAGCTCCTTGCCGCCCAGCTCCTGGAAGGCCTTGCCCACGGGGGGCAGCCGGTACTGGTGCTCGGTCCACAGGAGCCACTTCTGCACGTTGCCAGGGCTCCAGTCCACCGGGTCTGGACAAGAGACAGACCCTCAGCCCCGGGGCTCAGGGTGGCCCCTCCTGCGACGGGCACCCGGGAACAGGGCATAGTTCAGGACTGGGCTCCCGTGCGGAGGGGACAGGGCCCTTGTGGTGGCAGGTACCCAGGAAATGGGGGCGAGGGAGGAGCCAGGGCCCTGGGGCAAGGCCACCAGGTGCTTTGCACCCCCCTCATTCAGGCCTCCTCCTTCCCGGCCCCTGGAGCCTCCTCCTGGCCACCAGGGGGCCTTTGCGGGGAGCCCCTGCCCCGGAAGGAGAAAGCACAGCCAGGAGTGAGAACAGCGCCCCCACCCGCTGTGACACATGAACTGCACCCTCTCGCCTGGCCCCAGCGCGGGGTAGGGGGCGGCACAGGGGCTGTTCCGGGCAGGCAGGGCTCAGGTGGGGCTGGGGCGGGAGCAGGACTCTGCCAGGTCGTGTGTGTGTGTGTGTGTGTGTGTGTGTGTGTGTCCCGCTGGGAGGGCGCTGCTGTGGCCGAGCTTGGCTGGGCGCGCAGGTGGAGGCGGGGCTGCTGGGTTGCGGTGGGCCTCCGCCCCCAGGTGAGCCACGCAGTCCCCGCCAGCGCCCCAGCGGGTGACCTGCCGGCTGCCTGCCTCCTCAATGCACCCATTTCCCTCCTAGAAGTCAAAGCAATTTGTCTCTGTCCCCATTGTCCCAAAAGCAGGCTTTTGCCAAGCCGGGGGTGGGGGTGGGGGGAGGTGCGGTGGGGAAGCTCCTGGGGTGGGGCTGGCATGAGCATTGGGAAACAGGAGGCCTGGCGCCCGGCGGTGGGGACGCCAGCAGGACCGCTGCGGGCAGGGCTGGGCCTGAGGGTCGCCGGACCATGCCTGTGACCCACGTGAGAGCTGTGCAGAGGGGCGTGCTCCAGCACCCAGAGACCCAGGGAGACACGATGGGGGCCCCAGCCCCATGCCCACGCCTGCCGGCTGACGGACACACGGTATCCCCCCCTCACCGGGGCCTCCCACAGACACGCTGCTCTATTCATTAAGCATTGGCCCCCCGCCCCCTGTCAGGTCCTCCCAGGGAACAGGGGGGCTTTTGTGTCGTGTTCACCGCTCGGTTCCACGGGTCCAGGACGGAGCCTGACACATTTAGGGGTTCTCGTGGTGGAGTTCGCCCAACAGCTGCTATGGAACGCTCAGTAAGTTCAAGGTGGCAGCCGAGGACTGGGAAGCTAGTGACGAGCCAGATGAACAAAAACCGGTATCGTGGGGTTCCCTTCCCAGTGGGGGGACACGGACGGCAAACAGGGCTTCAAGAATCCGCAGCATCTCGGAAAGAAAGGCGGGAGGAGTGGCAGACAGGGGTGTGGCAGTGATTTCAGTGGAGGGGTTGGGGAGGCCTCAAGGAGAGGCCGCCATCGAGGCCAGGGCCCCTGGAGGAGGTGGGGGGGAGTCAAGAGCTCAGGGACACGCGTGTTCCTTTTTTATGATGTTTTCTTCGTGTCATGTCAGACTGAGGGGACAGCAGGTGCAAAGGTCCTGAGGTGAGTGTGGTGAGGACGGCAAGGAGGGTGGTGTGCCTGCAGCCGGGTGCACGAGGAGGGAGCAGGACTGAGTCCCGGAGGAAGTGACGGGCCAGGCAGAGCAGAGCTTGGATTCGCTTCAGCTCCTGTGAGGTGGGGGCTCTGGGCCGGTGTGGTCAGAGCCCAGAGACCCTCCCCAGCCATGGTGTGTTAGGAGCTCACTGTCTGTGTACAAGGGCCAGCACCCCTGGGGGCCACTGCAGATGGGGACAGAGGTGGCCAGAGCCCACCGCACCGCGTCCCCAGCCCTGCCGCGCAGCTGGGGTGGGAGGGGCTCACCCGCCGTGATGTTGAGCAGCTTGCAGGCCGTCTCGATGTCCTTGAGCACCTCCCCCACCACCATGGACTGCACCTGCTCCAGCGAGTGCTCCTCCAGGCTCAGCCCGCCGGGCACCAAGTCCAGGCCGCCCCCCGGGGCTTGACTGTCGATGACCGGGCACTGCTCAGGCTCCTCGGGCGGCTCTTCCCGGGAGCCGGCCCCAGGGCCCTTGGCTGCCCAGCCGCTGTCGTCGGGGCACAGCATGTCGAAGTAGGAGAGGTAGAAGGCAGACAGGCCCTGCTCGGGCGTGGCAGGTGGACTGGGGCTCCAGTCCCGGCCCCCGGCCGCCCCCGCTGCCCCTTTCTCGAGGCCCGTCCGCAGCGCAGCGTCGGGGGGCAGCAGGGGACGGCCGGGGGGCAGGTTGCTCAGGCCCGGGCTGGCGCTGCCCATGCCGCTGCTGCTGGTGCCGGCAGCTGCGTCTGTAGGAATGACAGAGCAAGGAGAGTCAGGTCTGAGTGCTAACCCGACCCCATGGGGCTGCTAAGCTGGTTACGGGGATGAGGGGCCCGATGGGCAGTGCGCTGGGCTGGGAGGGGGCTGGCGGCTTCTGGGTCATTGGGCAGCGAGGACAGGGCAAGCCTGGAGACGGGCCACTCCCCCAGGGAGCCGGGCTGGCTGGGGCAGCGAGTCCTCACCACGCAGTGTGCCTGCAGCAGCCTTCCGAGGGCTGGCCCTCACTCTGCGCCCGCGGCAGAAGGCAGGCTTAGCCCCAGTTGGCAGGTGAGCAAATTGAGGCCTGGGCCAGGACCCTGATGTCCAGATCTTTCCACTAACCTAAGCAAGTTTTTCTTTCAGTCTGCAGAGGTAGGGGAGGAGGCGAAAGAGGAGTCCTGCCCACCCCCCAATCCCGGCCAGGGAAGGGAGAGGGGGACGCAGGCCAGGGCCTGCCTGGGAAGCTGGGCGGGGAGCGGCCCCTTCCTCCCGCACAGGGCCATCTGGGGGACGCGACTGACTGAAGCCACAGGGGTAACACTCCTGAGGCCACAGGAGTAACACTCCTGAGGTGACCACTGAGGGCTGGGTTCCCGGGACTCTGGAGGAAGGAGCAGCCGTGTGGGGGTGGTGCCCACGTGCGGAGCGCTCCTGGGGCCAGCAGGGGCGGTGGGAAGCCGCTGGCTCCAGACCCAGCCATGAAACTCACTGCTGTCTCAAGGCTCTGCCCACCCAGGCCCCTGTCTCCGAACCCTGCCCCCCCCACCGTGGGCAGTCGGGTGACAGGGGCGGTGGGGGCTGGGTGAGCACCAAAGCACAGGGGTTTCAGGGCCAGGCCGAGATCTGGGGGCCGGAGAGAGGACAAATCCAGGCTGTGGTGGAGGAGGAGAGCGGCAGCGGGGAAGGCGGGCAAGGAGCAGGGGGACGTGCTGCGTGCACGCCCATCTGTGTCCTCCCGCGGGATGGGGCTGGGGGGCTGTGTGTGTGTGTGTTTTTAAGATTTATTTATTTGAAAGGCAGAGTTACAGAGAGGCAGAGGCAGAGAGAGAGGTCTTCCATCTGCTGGTTCACTCCCCAGGTGGCCGCAACAGCCAGAGCTGCGCCAATCCAAAGCCAGGAGCCAGGAGCTTCTTCCAGGTCTCCCATGAGGCTGCAGGGGCCCAAGAACCTGGGCCATCTTCCACTGCTTTCCCAGGCCACAGCAGAGAGCTGGATCGGAAGTGGAGCAGCTGGGACTCAAACCGGCACTGCAGGCGGTGGCTTTACCAGCTGCACCACAGCGCTGACCCCAGGGACTGTGTTTTAAAGCTGTCCTCTCAGGGAGGAGCACCCAGGCCAGCACCCCTTGGGGGCTGGCCGGAAGCTCGTGTCCACGGGCCCCCATCAGAGCTGTGGAAACGGAAGCCTGGGCACGCCCGCAGCGCCTTGTCTCGGGACTCGGGAATGCAGTTTGGGAATCGCAGGTGTCCCTTGGGAGCACGGGGAGGCTCCTGTCAAAGCTCTGCCGGCGGAAGCTCCAGGGCTTACGGCGCAGCCGAGGCAGGGAGGGGCTCTGCCTCAGCCGAGGGGCCGCAAGGCCAGAACCCAGGGTGGAAGACACCTGCGGCGTCTCTAAGGCCACAGCTCACACGCCCGACACCTCTGTGCAGCTCAGCAAATGGTGTGCCTTCCTGCCCGGCAGCACGGCTGGAGAGGGGAGCCCAAGCCGGATGCAAGCTCCCTCGCCCAGCGGCCTTGCGCAGTGCCCACCCTTCCCACCTCTCTCGGCAGCCCCGAAGCTGTCTGGAGCGGGGAGAATGCCAGCGAGGGGAAGGGTGTTCCCTCTGGCTTCAACTCTCTCCTTCAAGAGCCCCTTTAAGGGTCTGGCGCTACCGTGTAGCAGGTGGAGCCGCCGCCTGCAGTGCCAGCATTCTATACGGGCACCAGTTCAAGTCCAGCTCTCTGCTGTGGCCTGGAAAAGCAGTAGAAGATGGCCCAAGTGCTTAGGCCCCTGCACCCCCGTGGGAGACCCGGAAAAAGCTCCTGTCTTCTGGCTTCAGATCAGCTCAGCTCCGGCCACTGCCATTTGGGGAGGTGAACCATCGGATGAAAGACATCTCTCTCCCTGCCTAGGCCTCTGTCTCTGCCTCTAACTCTGCCTTTCAAATAAATAAATCTTTAAAAAAAAAAAAAGATCCCCTTTATCCCCTTTAAGTGACATGGAAAGAAAGGTCAGGGTGGGGTGGGGTGCCCTGGGCCTAACGGGGGCCAGAGCTGGGAGGGCAGAGGGCAGGCCTGGCACCCGCTCAGGTCCTTCTGTGCAAACACTTGTGTGTGCTGTGGGCCCCTGGTATTTACCCAGCCCGCTCTGCCCCGGGGCCCCACCCTGGCCTGCACCCGCGCCCTACTCCCTTAGGCAGCTCCACCCCTACGGAGCCCCTTCTGCCCCCCACCCCTCTCATCGCACCCCATTCACGTCCCCAGGCCCCCCACCCCCCGCCGCTGCCACGCTAGGACAGAGCCTGCCAATACCCTGGGCCTCCGGCCAAGGAGACGGAAGCCTTTCCAAGAAGAACAGGCTTCCCTCGTGGCGCTCCTGTTTGCTTGGCCTAGGCCACAGATGGGATGGGAGGCAGCCATGGTGCTTGAGGGCCTGCGCGGGCAGAGGGGCAGGGCAGGTGGCCGCGTTGGCTGGGCCGGGCTATAAGGAGGACACATCCTTGACACCGTGCTGAGTGAGCCGCACGGCCCCTGCGTCCCTCCCTTCCGGGCCGAGAGGCAGTCAGGCCTCATTCTCATAGCCCGGCCTCGTTCTCGTCCTGAGCTTGCCCAGGGGGAACTCCAGGGCAGACACAAGGGACCTGAAGCCAGCTCCCGGGATGCCTGGCACTGGCGTCTTCACCTGCAGCGAGCGCTGCCTCCCCACCACACCGCGCAGCCCGGCCCCTCTCACCCTGCTCCCAAACGCCAGGGAGTCTGCGCCCCACCAAGCCCGGTCCCAGCCCCAACCCCTCCCGAGTGAAAGCTCGGGACTGATTAGCCGTGGGCCGTAGGGAGAAAGGTCCCACTGTCTGCCGGGTGGGGGTGGCGAACGCTCTGCCCCCAGGCAGCCTGGGTATGGGGGCGCCGTGCCTTACTGGTCAGGGAGTCGGGGCAGGTGTGCACAGCCTGCGACTCTGCATCTCCTCGGGCTCCAGGCTGGACTGGGAGGGAACAGGGAACTGCACAGCGGCCCCTCCCACATCCGCGCCCAGGGCGTGCACCCACCTTATGCCTTTACTACCCACAGCTGGGTGACGTGGACTCACGCGTCCTGTTTTATAGATGTGACAGTGGGGCTCAGGGGACGCTACCTACACAGCCTGCCGTGCCTGGATTCTGCTCTCGGGACTATATTCCCCCAGGCTCCTGCTGTGGCAGGCCCATCTTCCTAGCCCGGCTCCTTGGCCGATCATGCCCCACCCCTGGGTGCTTGCTACACCCCACTTCCAAACTCTGTAACTGTTCATCTGACACAGCTGTGTGCAAGAGCACCCTATGGGGGCTGCTGCGGTGGCCTAGCAGGTTAAGCTGCCACCTGCAATGCCCGGCACCCTGAATCAGAGCACCAGTTCGAGCCCCAACTGCTCTGTTTCCAATCCAGCTCCCTGCCAATGTGCCTGGGAAGGCAGTGGAAGATGGCCCGAGTGCTTGGGCCCCTGCACACGTAGGAGACTCAGTTGGAGTTGTTGCCTCCTGGCTTCAGCCTGGCCCGGACCTGACTGTTGCAGCCATCTGGGGAGTGAATCAAGAGGAAGAATCTCCTTGGCTCCCTGTTAGGTGCTGATGGCCACCCCGAGGCAAAGCCTGCCCAGCCCAGACAATGAGAGCGTGGAGAGGCCTCACACCCACTGCACGGCTGACTACAGGTGCAGACAGTGAGTGAGGCCCAGAGCAAGCAGGGGATTCTCGGGCTGGACGGGGCGGAGTCAGGGCTGGACACGGTGACCACACATCCAGGCTCTACTGAGGCTGCCGTCTCCCGCCTGGCCCTTTTGCAGTGAGCACAACATGGCTGCCCTCTCTCGGGCTGTCCCTTTGCCACAGACATCCCTTCCTGGTCACCGCAGACAGTCCAGGGCCCTCCTCCCCAGGGCGGCCTCCTAGCAGCTCCCTCCTCTGTGCTTGCGTGACTGCACCCTGGTGAGGCCCGCCCTTGGGGCCCACGGGTGCAGACAGGGGACAAGCCAGTCTCTGCCGAGGCTGGTCCCTGGTGCTGCAGACCCAGCCCTCCCACAGCCTCACTGGCAGGACCCCAGGGGCTGCCGTCTCCCGAGCAATGCCTCCGGCTTCCCAACCTCGAGATGATCCCTTCTAGATTAAGCCACATGTCTGGATTAAGGCTCGGCGTGTCCCGGCTCCCTCCTGCCACTGCACACAAAGAAAGTGTGGTAACAGCTGGTGGAGAACAGGGCGGCTGGGCAGGGTGGCGGCCAGGGGGATGCACCACCTCGGCCCTGCTCTCAGCACTGCCCACTCCCCCAGGAAGGCTGAGTGAGGAGAGAGGGAGGGGGACCCAAAGCCAGGGATTCGGCACAGCTGTTCCCTGTCTCACCTCTGGGGCCTCGGTGGGCTCAAGTCCCACCCTAGTGCTGGGCGCCTCAGCTGCAGGGATCAGCCAGCTTGGGGGTCTCCACTAAGGTGCCCACCGTCATGGTGGGGGGAGTCCTTGTGAGTCTCAATGAACCCAGGCCCCAGCTCCGGGGGGTTCTGGGGTGGAGTGACTGGGCCTCAGCTCCCCGCTCGAGCCTGGGCCCCAGCCCTAGTCCTCCCCGAGCCTGAGCCCCCAGCTTCAGGCCCCCAAGAGAAAGGACAGAGCTGAGGTGGGCAGGGCTTGCGGAGCCACCCCTCACGCGGCTCTCAGCTCCCCGCGAGCCTTGCTCCAGGAGCAGGAGGCCTCCGTGGGGGCCCTGGCTTCCTCCAGTACCTACTGCCCTGGCTGTCCCTCTGCCCATCCAAATCCCTGGCCCTAGGCCCTGGGCCAGGAGCCATGCAAAGTGGGCAGGGGCCACGTGGGCCGGCCAGGCAGCTGGTCAGCACCTTGGAGAGAGGAGCACCCGGGGAGGTGCGGGGGAGCCCCAGGCCACTGCCCATGGCCTGGCCCCCAGAGTCTGACTTCTCTGAATCACAACCCCCCAGCCTTCTCCTCCCCCTTGCCCTGCCCCTCCCACTCTTCCTCTGCTTCCCTGACACTCCCCCCTCCAAGGGAGCCCCAGCCACTTGCCCCCAAAACAGACCCTTAGACTGGTGGGTTCAGAAGTGCCAGGCTCCCTCCTGACCGCTCACCCTTGCCTGGAGTGCTGGTCTTGCCTTGTTGGACACCTCTAGTAGGCAACTCCAGCCTTCTCAGGGTCTCCAAGGGCAGAGAGAGGGGAGATGGGTCCCTAGGGGTGGCTGAGAGAGGCCTTGCCTGACCTGTAACCCCCTTTCTTTCCAGTATCATTCCCACCCAACAGACCTGGGTGCTGTGACCCGCCACGGGGCACCTGTGCGTGTGTGGCTGAGCAGGGACTTGAACTCAAGACTCGGCTCCACCTTCCTCTCTGATGGTGCAGGTGAACCCCTGGGGTCGTCTCTGATGCCCACTCCCTTTTGCCTGTGCTCACTGACCCCAGCCCCACAGTGCTGGCGTCAATGGGGTCCGGGTGGCAGCCTGGAGGCACAGGTGCAGCCTGAGCCTAGAGAGGGCTCCAAGTGGGGCTGCAGCTTGGAAAGGGCGCGAGGCATCATGTCTCTAGCTGTGAGCTCCGTTCCTGCCCTCTGCCCCCTGGACTCGTGTGCGAGGTGCCGAGCCGTCCCTGGCCCCTCGGGGCCTCAGTCTCCTCCTCCATCCCCCAGGTGGCTGGCTCATCTCCCAGGACCTTGGAGCCTGAGCCCTGTCTGGGTTCTGGGACCCAGAACCCTCCTGCTGCCCCCCAGCCTGGCTCTGGGGCCTCGGGAGGAGAAGGGCAGAGAAACAGGTGGCGTCCAGGGGCTCCCCCGTGAGAAGGGGTGTACGTCAGGGCTGCCAGCACCCCCAGGATTGGAGCCCGGAGGCTCTGGAAGACTTGGCTCAGCCCTGTGACCGGAAGGGCCACCCGCTTGGCCTGTTTGGGCCTGGCTGCCGGTGGCTCGAACCTCCTCCCTGGCCCCTCCTGTCAGCCGGGGAACACCAGCCCAGCCCCCGCTCAGAGTGAGCACTGCTCACAGCGCAAGGGCGGGGCACAGTTTCCCTCTCAGCGCCTGTCAGCACACTTCACTTGTCAGCCTCCATGCGCCCCCAGCACCTGCACCTCGGCCTCCACCTTGCCTGCACCGCGGGCCCCCCTCTCTCTGGTACAGCCTGCTTGCCCTTCCCCGGGAGCCCACGAACCCTCGCCAGACCCTCCTCAGGCAGGGGCTGTGAGGGTCAGGGCTGTTGCACCCTAACCCTAACCCTAACCCTAACCCTAACCCTAACCCTAACCCTAACCCCACGCTCTGCCCCAGCCGGGCAGTGGGTCCCCAAGGGCGAGAGAACTCCTGGCTTTCACCGGCTCCTGTGGTTCCTGCCTGGAGCACCCCGGCCGACCCTTGGGGCCTCAATCTTGGCCTCAGTGAAATAGGGAATGGGTGAAGCCCTCAGGTAGGACAGCTACCCTGGGGGGAGCTGCCCGGGCCCCTGCAGGAGAGCCCTGCCTTGAGCCCAGCCCTGGGGCCCCGGAGCACAGCACCGGGCTGCTGCACACCCCGCAGCCTGATGGGTGATTCTCGGTCCGAGGGGCCGAGAATGGAGCCCTCCACAAAGGCTGAGCCAGGCAGGGTGGGCTCTCAGCAGGGCCCTGAAGCGTCAGCAGAGGCACGTCCAGCCCGCTTCGTCCCAGTGCCCTGGGGAGGGTTGGGGCCGGCTGGGCGGCATGGGAGGAGCTGGATGCCTGCAGCCCTTGGGCCTCATGAGCTGAGGGCAGCGAGACCTGGGCCCCACCCTGTCACCGTCGGGGGCTGGAACCCCAGCGTGGGCAGCTGCCCGGGACCCTTTCCTCGGGCCCAGAGCTGGAGGAGGAGCTGAGCTGCTCCGATTCTGCTGGTGCCCACGAGGAAGGAGAGGCTCACCCCCGCCCAGTCTGGACCCCGCACCCCCAGCTCCCCAGGGGCGGGAGAGGGGAGCCTGGCGGGGCGCCTCCCAGGCTGGGACGTGTGAAGGAGCCCGCATTAAATGTCAGGAAGAGCCCAGGGCGACCTGGCTTGTGCAAAGTTTGCTTTGGGAAGAGTTGTTCCACCTGACAGGCCGCTCACTTGGCTGGGGGCACAGGCTGGGCACGGAAGAGGTAGGGTGGGGACAAGGGGAGAGTCCAGACCGGGTTTGAGCCCAGACTCCCTGATCTCTACTGACTTGGCCTCCCTTGAGTCTCAGTTGTCCTGTCTGTGAAATGGGCGGTTCTGAGCATGTCGGAAAGGTGAAGGGGGAAGGAGGGGCGGGTGCCTGGAAGCCCCACTGGGGCTGAGCACCTGGGCACAGGTGATGGGGCGGGGGAGGGAGAAGGAGTGGGTGAGCCAAGAGGAGAACAAAGGAAGACGCAGGTGGTGATGGTGGCCAGCGGGGCTAGGAGGAAGGGCAGTAAGGAGAGGCAAGGGTGGTGGTGAGGGAGGCCGGGGCCTCCTGTTCTGGGGTCATCCTGACCTCCGCCCCATTCAGACCAGCGCTGGCCTCACCCACCCCTCCCTGCCCTCTAGGAGGAGCCAGAACCAGGAGCTCCCCCCCCCACCTTCCCCACCTCAGCCTTGGGGACAGGCTGGCAAGTCCACCGGCCAGCCCACTCCTAACCAACTCCTACCTAGCCTTCAAAGCCCCAGATGGTCTCCTCCATGGAGCTTCCTTGAAAAGAGGAGACTGTACTTGGCAGACAAGGAGCTGCCAGTGCGTTGAGGACAGCGGCTTGCCCAGGGTGGCACGCCTGGGCCCCTCCCCCAGAGGGTCTCACTGCCCCAGTTACGGTCCGGCTGCACCACGCCACGCAAAACCGAACTGTGCTACTGGCAATGACCTCTAAGGCCCACAGCGTGTCCTCCTGCCGGCACCACCCTCACTGGGTATCAGGTGAGCACCTGCTGGGTGCAGCCCGGCTTGGTTGGCAGAGTGGCCCCGTGTAATTCCGAGGGCCCTCGTGACAATCAAAGGGTTCCCTGATCAATAGTGTGCAAGAAACAAGTTGGGCGGGGACGGGGTTTTCAACACCTGTAGTGCTCGTCCACCTGCTGCCGTGCCCCCGCCACAGCTCCACCTCCCCGGGGCTCTCAGGATGCCCCCCCTACTTGGCTGAGTTCGGGGTGGTGGACTCCAAGTTGGGAGGCCTTGGCGCTGGCCCTCCCAAAGGCAGGCCTGGATGAGCCTGTCTCCTCAGCCCACTGGCCACCCTGGGCCAGGGGCAGTGCGATCACCTGTTTGCTTTGTTACTCAGCTGAGCAGCTGGGCTGGGGAGACTTGGCTTTACTGGGGGGTGTGGGGGTGCTAAGAAGCTGTTTCCTGGGGAGGTGGCAGCAGGAAATGAGGCCAAGTCCCAACCCTGGCCAAGGACGAGGAGAAAGGCCATGACCGTCAGAAAGGAGATGGGCGGCTCCAGGGCTGGGGTCTGGCTACCCGCCTCTGGGGGCCCGGATGGTAGGGTGAGGTGAGAGGTCTAGGGCAAACTCAGTGGGCCTGCCCATGGCCAATATGCACACACACACATGCATGTACGCCCATCCACACACCTGCACGCCCTTGGTCAGCCTCAGGGACTCCCCAGCCAACCAGGCCCTGCGGCTTCCCACCTGGTCATCCCTACCACCTGCTGCCCTCTCTCCTCCCAGACGGGACCTGGCAAACCTTGTAAGTGAGCACCTCCCATGAGCCCCCAACTGTTGCTTTCCTTGTGTGCCCAGAGGTGGCCCCCTGGCCCTCAGCTTCCCCAGCTGCCCGAGCGCCCCGGGGGGGTTACTCCTCGGAGACCTCCCGAGCCCACCCCTGCCCCACCCAGCTCCTGCGTCCTGGGCCTGCCTCTCCTGTTCCAGCTCGGACCCTGGCTCCGAGCCTCCAGGCCCCCGCAAGCCCCTGCCCACTCGTGGTTAGCACCACAAACTCTTCCCTTGGCAGAGCAGCTGGGGCTGGCGGCGGCAGAAAGGCCGCTTGTGTTTTGCTAGCCAAGCAGAACTGGCCGGTCTCAGGGACTGGGGCTGTGCACCTGTGCCGAGACCTGCTCTCAGGCTGGGCAGGCCAGGCTCGATGGGGAGCCCAAGGGCCCCTCCAGGCAAAGGGAGCTCGCCAGGTTCTGGGCTTGGCTGAGGGAGGCAGACTGGGCACAGCATGTGGAGGGGCAGGGGACTCTGGGGTGAAGGGACCCAGATCACCCTGAGCTTGCAAAGCACACCTCCTAGTCCTGCCCGCAGCCACCCACCTCCCCCAGCCGGCAGGGAGAGCTCCCCCCGGGGGAGGCAGCTCCCACCACACTTACCCGTTAGCTGCCTGCTGCCCGCAGAGCCGTCCGTTGCAGTGCCAACAACCCCAGTGGCCAGGAGGACTTGTGGGAGGCTGGGGCCACTGCTGTGTCTCAGCCGGGCATCGGGGGTGGGGGCCGTGGGACCGGGGGCGGGGCTGAGGGCAGAGGCTGCACTTGGGTGGGCCGCGGGGGGCCTGGCCACCCTCAAGGGGTGGCTCTCTGAGGTCTCAGGACTGCGTGCCTACAAGGAGTGCACTGTCCCGGGAAGGCTGAGGGGCTTCCAGGGGGCAGGAGTGGGTGTGGGGGCCGGGGTCTGCGGGGCAGCGTGGCCCTGGCAGAGTACAGGAATGCGCTGGGAGGAAGTCAGGTGGCCACAGGATGAAGAGCTGGCCAGCGCCTGGCTTCCCATTATAAGTAATCCTTCCTTATTTACCTGAACAAACACGCTCCCTGCGTACCTCAAACCACAGGCGGGCTCCTGCTTAACCCTTGCAGGCCTCCCTGTCTGCGCAGCCAGGGGCCTCCCGTACTCAGCTCTCCGCAGCCTGAGATGCTGGGATATACGGGGAGGGTCCGGGGCTGGGACAGACAAGCAAGCTGCAACGGAAACCCAGAGTCACTCAAGTGCCTCAGCAGAGGCATTGGTGAGGGAAGTCCATGAAGGCTTCCTGGAGGAGGTGCTGTCTGGCTCCCCAGGCCAGGAATGGAGGGAGCTTTAGAGAATCCTAGAGGGCCGGCGCTGCGGCTCACTAGGCTAATCCTCCGCCTTGCGGCGCCGGCACACCGGGTTCTAGTCCCAGTCGGGGCGCCGGATTCTGTCCCGGTTGCCCCTCTTCCAGGCCAGCTCTCTGCTGTGGCCAGGGAGTGCAGTGGAGGATGGCCCAAGTCCTTGGGCCTTGCACCCCATGGGAGACCAGGATAAGTACCTGGCTCCTGCCATCAGATCAGCGCGGTGCGCCGGCTGCAGCGCACTGGCTGCGGCGGCCATTGGAGGGTGAACCAACGGCAAAGAAAGACCTTTCTCTCTGTCTCTCTCTCTCACTGTCCACTCTGCCTGTCAAAAAAAAAAAAAAAAAAAAAGAGAGAGAGAATCCTAGAGGGGAAGCTCAGGCTTAGGGGCGCACGGCTGCCCAGTGTGGACTGTGCTCCCTGCGCCCTGCGGCGTACCACAGGCTCCCAGCGTAGGCGCCCAGCGTGGCTTTGCCAGCAGTGCCTGCTCTCCCAGTCCCTGTCTCCTTGAGGCCAGGGAAGGCCCCACACAGGAGCTCTGGGCTTCCTGCTCACCTGTGGGGAGGCTCAGGGTGCACGGGAGGCTGGGGTCTCCCCTCGCATCGGCTCGAGGCACCAGGCACCTGCTCCCACGGCGCTGCCTGTTTAGATGATGTGTATTGTCAGGCTCCAGCTCCAAGGGCGCCTGTCTACCTGCCATGGCGTGGGTGTTCTCGGGCCTCGAAGCAGCCCCAGCCCACCCTTCCCCAACTCCTTCTTCTCCCCGGGGAGCCCTGAGCATGGCTGTGGGGGCCCCAGCCCTGTGGAGGACAAGTCCCCAGAGGCACCCTGAGAGGTCTGAGGCAGCTCCAGTCCCCACCCCTCAACCCAGGCCCAGCCCTCCGGGGTCCCTGGCAAGAAAGATCCCTCCATTTCCAGGCTGCCTCCCTGCTCTGTGCGGGCCAGGCCCTCCTCTCCACTCTCAGGGTGCTCTCGGCGGCCGTGTCGTGGGCCCTCTAGGGTGGCTAATGGGAGGCGCCTCTGGGCAGCGCTCACTGAGCAGACGGGGCAGCAGAGAGAGCTGGTTACGCCGGTGTCCATTCTCCCCTCCGCCCCTGATTTTCAGTGGGGCGCGCGGCTGTTCAGACTGTCACAGCTCCCCTTGCAGCTACAGGTGACTGTGACCAAGCAGGTGGCATGTGCCAAGATTTCTAGGGATCTTTCTTAAAAGTAAGTTGGGGGGGCCGGTACTGCGGCACAGCGGGTTGAAGTCCCGATCTGCGGTGCCGGCATCCCATATGGGCACCGGTTCGAGTCCCAGCTGCTCTGTTTCTAATCCAGCTCTCTGCTATGGCCTGGGAAAGCAGTAGAAGATGGCCCAAGTGCTTGGGCCCCTGCACTCGCATGGGAGACCCGGAGGAAGCTCCTGGCTCCTGGCTTCAGTCTGGCCCAGTCCTGGCTGTTGCAGCCATTTGGGAAGTAAAGCAGGGAAAGGAAGACCTCTCTCTCTCTCTCTCTCTCTCTCTCTCTGACTCTGCCTTTCAAATAATACATCTCAAGTTGACACGCATCACTCGCCACCTTCTTTCTGCCGCCTCCCCCTTGTGGCCTGGCTGCAGCCGTGAAAGCCGATGTTCTGGCTGCCATCTTGGCTGTGGGAGAGCGTGGTGGGGCCGTGCGGTGGGAAGCTGCTGGATCTCTGAGGACGCAATAAAACCGCCACAGCAGCTCCCGACTGCGGGGCTCCTGTCTCTATTTCACGGGAGAAACAGGCCTTTTGCTTTAGAAAGTGGCTTCGAGTGCAGACTCCATAGTCACAACCAGGCCTGACCCTGCCTGGAGCAGCCCAGCAGACTGACAGGTGTCCGAAGACGGGACACTCTCGCGACGCTGAGTGGCCTGGGTGAGGAGCTGGCCCTTGGGAGGGCTGACTGGTTTTTTTTTTTAATATTTCATTTATTTATTTGTGAGGTAGAGTTTCAAACAGTGAGAGGGAGAGACAGAGAGAGAGGTCTTCCATCCGCTTCCATCACTCCTCACATGGCTGCAATGGCCAGAGTTGTGCAGAACTGAAGCCAGGAGCCAGGAGTTTCTTCCTGGTCTCCCACGTGGGTGCAGGGGCCCAAGCTTCTGGGCCATCTTCTACTGCTTTCCCAGGCCACAGCAGAGAACTGGATCAGAAGAGGAGGAAAAAAAAAAAAAAAAGGCGGGCACCGCAGCTCACTAGGCTGATCCTCCACCTGCGGCGCCGGCACCCTGGGTTCTAGTCCCAGTCGGGGCGCCATATTCTACCCCGGTCACTCCTCTTCTAGTCCAGCTCTCTGCTGTGGCCCAGGAGTGCAGTGGAGGATGGCCCAGGTCCTTGGGCCCTGCACCCGCATGGGAGACCAGGAGGAAGTGCCTGGCTTCGGATCAGCGCAGCACTGGCCGTGGTGGCCATTTGGGGGGTGAACCAATGGAAGGAAGTGGAAGGAAGACCTTTCTCTCTGTCTCTCTCTCTCACTGTCTAATTCTGCCTGTCAAAAAAAAAGGAAGAGGAGCAGCGTGACTAGAATTGGCGCTCATCTGGGATGCTGGCACCACAGGCGGAGGATTAACCCCCTGCGTCACTGCACTGGCCCCGGGAAGGCTGACCTTTGAACCATGGGTACAGCTTGAAGCTGGGCCAAAGGAGGCACTTCATAGGAGCGTCCAGGGATTGGCCGGCCTGCACGTGTGTGGACGGCGGCTGTGCTCACCCACACCTGAAGATGCTCCACGAGGGTCGGAGGGGAGGACCCCTCCTGCTCAGCTGGGGCTCACTCGGTGCAGCCCCGAGAGGCTGCTTGGGGCCTGCAGCGGGTTCGGTCCCCATCCAAGCAAGTCTGGCAGACTCCAGGGCAGGAGAGGACTGACTCAGGCCCATCCTTAGCCCGTGAGGGGGCTCCAAGTGCCACCCTCAGCCCCTGGGCCACCCAGCGGCTTGGCAGCAGCTCGGATCTGACCAGCTTTGTGACTGGGCGGGGTCTGATGGCCAACGGCCCCTCCCCCCCGGCTGGGAGGCCTCCCAGCTCGGTGTGGTGGGAGATAGAACAGAGTGCTGCGACCCCAGCTGTCCGGTGCCAGCGCCGCGCTCACCGCCCACCACAGCCACGTGTTCCACACGCATCAGCTCTCTTCACAGCAAGCTGGCCAGGGAGGTATTACTGTGCCCACTTCCCGGCTGAAGAAACTGAGGCCCGAACTTTTCGTGTGTTTGTTGTATTTAAAAGGCAGAGAGACAAAAAGAGACAGATCTCATCTGCTGGCTAATCCCCCAAATATCCGCAATAGCAAGGGCTTGGCCAGGCTGAAGCCAGGAGTTTGAAATTCAGTCCAGGTCTCCCACATGGTGGCGGGGGCCCGAGTGCCTGCGCCATTATCTGCTGTCTCCCACGGTGAGCATCAGCGGGAAGCTGGACTGGAAGTGGAGTAGCTGGGACTAGAAGCAGGGACTCGGCTATGGGATGCAGGTGTCGCACACAGTGCCCTAACCGCTATAGCACGTGCCGGCGCCGTGTCCAACACTTGAATGACACACCTGCTATGGTGTGCATATGTCCTCCAAAGCTCGTGTGTGAGAAACTTGATCTCCAGGGCAACCATGGTGACAGGTGGGACCTTTAGGAGGTATCTGGGGCGTTGGCATTTGATGTAGGGGTTAAGATGCCCACGTCCCATATTGGAATGCCTGGGTTCAAGTCCTGGCTCCGTTTCTGATTCCAGCTTCCTGTTAATGTGCCTGGGAGGCAGCAGGTGATGGCTCAAGTCCTCGGATCCCTGCTACCTACGTGGGAGACCTGGATGAAATTTCAGGCTCCTGGCTTCCGCTTAGACCAGCTTGACTTGCAGGCGTTTGGGGAGTGAGCCAGCAGGTAGAAGATCAATCAATCGTTCTCTCTCTGCTTCTCAAATAAAGTAGAACAGGAGGTGATCAGGTGCTGGGGGCTGTGCCCTAATGAACAGATTCACGGTGCTACTGCTGGAGGGGCTTGGTCAGCCTGGGAGCTGTTCCTAGAAAAATCCAGGTTCGGCCTCCTTCCTGTCTCTTGCCCTCTGCCTTCCACCATGGGGTGCCACAGCAGGGATGTCCTCTGGCCTTGCTGGCTTCCAGTACTGTGTTCTTTATAAAGGACCTGCTCTCAGCCATTCATGGTGCCCAGGGCCATAGCCGGGAAGCAGAGACAATCTCAAGCCTGCAGGTCCCCTGACTGCCCTGTGTGTGAAAGGACCCTGTTACTACCCCTGGGTCCCCACAAGGTCAAGTCCCAGGTCCTTAGCTTAGGTCACGAGGACCACTAGGCCTGCTGCCCTCAGCTCCCCCAGGCTGGTCTCCTCCCTAATCCTCCTCTGGCCGCCACCTCTTCTCCCTCCACCCAGACCCCGCCCATCTGTTGTGGGCAATGCCTGCCCCACTGCCACCCCCTCCAGACGTGGGGTCCCCTACACAGCCCACACCGGCCCAGGGTGACAGAGGCCATAAGGACGCCTCTTCCTGAGGGAGCCGCAGGGACCCTGGGATGGATCGGTAGCTCCCTTCCCTAGGGTGCAAATGCAACTGAGCTTCTCCAGGGCCGGGCCGGAGCCCTGCCCATCCAGAGTCTTCCTCTTCCTCTTCCCCTTCCCAGCATTCCCTTCTGCTCCTCAAGGCAGCGCCCCGGGAGCCA